CCTAACTTATGTGGAGATTTTTAGCTCAACTTTAACACGCCATTTTACTTATCAGCGATCAGCTTTATCTGATATCATATGTCACATATTTGGGTATCCATGATCTTCTTCTTAATTAAGTGAAAGTACACAATTGAAAAATAGAAAGTATTTTAATACTTTTTGGAAAATATGTTACGTGTTTTTAAAAAGATTACCATATACAACAAATTTTACAAATGTCAATACAACTAAAACCATTTTTTTTTTGCTGGCACTGTGCAATCAGTTTTAAATTAAGTGAAAACTTTTAATTATTAAATTACTTTAGGGATCTACAGTTATAATTGTTGTTCCAATCCTTACGTTTTAAATAATCAACAACACTAGATATTAAAAGACACATAAATATTTACTTTAAATTCTAGCATTTAAATTACACTAGCATTCAATTTGCATTTAAAATCTTGCTTTTGAATAAAATTTTAATAAATTCTTTCTTTAAATTCTTTATTTCAAGAACAAATATATGTCTTACGTGATATCTTTCTACTGCTCTAGAATTTTATTTAATCAAGAGAGAATCTCAAATATCTTTCTGTTCTCCTAGGTTTATGAAACAGTCTTTATCAAACGTAGAAACTCATTCTATTCGCTGTACTTCAAATTCCTTTCTGTTTCATTGTGTACAGAATAAGGATTGTTTATTTATTTTGGCATATTGAAGAGCACTAAATTTTCTCATATTCTATAGTCTGACGTATCTATCTCAAGGAAAATATTTGAAGAAAAGGGCCAGCGTATCCTTAATTGCGTGACAAGTTTTAGCATCACGATTATTAAATGTTTAAACAAATGTGTCAAACGTATTCTACGAAAATCAGAAAGATTAAGTAAATTTCTATTCATAGGAGTTTAGAGCATTGTAGATTGTAACATTGTGTAACACTCTGGATATTTTGAGTAAAAAATAATTTAAATGAAAATCTGAGTTTTCATTTTGATTCTAATATTACATTTTTATCTAAATACTGCAAATTTTACTGAATACTAGTGGAATCAATTACAATTTAATTAAGATATATTTACATTCTTCTTGTAACTACAAAGGTATCAGTTTAATTTATTCATAGTTTAATATTTTTTAATGTTAAATTAATACTGGGCAAAACGGAAACTAAATTACAAATTGTGGATCGTGAATTCTAGTTTGTTCATTGAATCTTTTATGCTACTTTTTATGAATTTATATAGCTCAGAAAAGAGACAATTAATAACATATAATGTCTCCGAATTAATTCGGGATGTGATTCGGAATTCGAGGCATCATACGGCTGAGAAAGAGACCATAAATAAAATCACAGAATAGGTGGTTTGATGAAATTAGAAAAGTATGTGTTGCTGTAGATTTTAAAGTTAGTAACAGTTTGGAAAAGTTCCTCATTCGGGGATGGAGTGCATTGAAAAAAAAATTTTTACATATTTTTTTTGAAATACAGTTTTTTTTCAGAAAATTTTGTTATCTTCTCGATTTGACAAAGGTAAAATAATTTTAGGAATGCACTGGTAACCAACAAGTGTCGCCAAATGCAATAGAGAAATTTAAAAAAAGAAATGCAAGCTTTCTAATTTATGCACAAAAAGTAGAAATACGTACTCATGCGTACTCCGAAATTCTTGATTTATAACTTTCAAAAAAGAAATCAACGTTACTATGGGCACATTAAGAAGAAATTATTATTAACGTTATTTTTAAGCATCTGAGTATTTCTTTTTAATTCATATTTGAAGACAGTAAATACTTTTTTTAAAAATAATCTAACTTCTGCTTGATTTCTATGTAGTTAAAGTTGGTTTGAAGCATTTTAATGAAAAATGATACATTTACAATCGATAATAATATATTATTCTAAAATTTCTTTTAAGCAAAAAAAAAAAGAGAAACTTCGATTGCTTGAAGAAAACTGTTCACCTGGATATAAATGATGAATATTTCAGAAAATAAGTAAAAAAATTCACTTTTAATGGGTTTAAATAAAAAAAAATACACATTTTATGTAAATTTCGTAAATTTGAAACTTAATCTACATTCTCCAACTTATTTTGAAAAAAAAAAGAAAAAAGAAAAAAACAGTATTTGGAATTGTAATGAACTTTAGCAAATTTAGTAGATTTGACCGTTAATTTATTCAGCTACTATATAAAACTAACTCTTTTCGGGGATAAACATCTTTTGCATCAAGCTTCAGAAACAAAGGTCCCTCAGTCAAACCTAGTAAGCGCCAACAAATCTCTTTCGATCTCTTTCTATTTCGATTACTTCGCATAGCCAAACACGGAATTTTCTCTCTCTTCGACAGATGGTAGCACTACTGGTTCTACGGTTTGCCTCCTTTTAAAAAACACAATCCCAAAGTTTCAAACAAGGTCAAATCTCGAACTGAAAATACCCATTACGAGCATAATGATAATTTATTGTCAGTTTCCATCAGGGCTCGAAAAAACTCTGAAATTTAGCCCGTCCCCGAGGACGGCTTGTCCGACAATGTACCCGTTCTCCTTTGAAACTAACCCGTCGCTTCTAAATAAATAAAAATATAATTTTCTCTTATTTATTACTAACATTTATATAAATTGCACAATTAATTAGTAGTTACTAGGATTGCAAATACTAAGATAACATTATACAGTAATAAAAGAAATACTAGGTTACTAATAGTAACACCTAGTATTTCTTTAATGAAATAATTTAAATAACAAAGGTCAAGTTATCTTTTAATTATCATGTCAATTTATCCGATGGTACTGCGTTTCTTAAATGAATCAAATATGACGTTTGCCAGTTCCACAATCAAGCCAATGATTTACAGAGGTTTCTGCACAGGTAGATGTTACAGAGGTTTCTGCACAGGTTCCATTTAGGTAGATGTTCATAATTGCGGTTGACGCTTCTTGTTTAAGACCAGTACGTAATGTGTTTTTTTTTAATGTTCATTGCTGAAAAGCCCCTTTCAACCGCTGCAGTATTCCCAGACAGAGAAAACATCAATTCCACCATGCGCAATATGTTGCTGTATTTCGAGATTAGAGGGTCATTTTAGAAGTGAGGAGCTAGACTCTTGTAAGATAACAAAAATTTAAAATATATCACGAACATTAACGGGAAAATGGCCTCTGTGCGGACGTTGGATTCGAGAAATTTGTTGTCCGCGGGGAATTTTTGACAGCCGAGGACGGGCGGTTTTTCGAGCCCTGGTTTCCATTAATGTCGGTAGTTATACTATGGGCAGCTTTCCAACACGCAACTTTCTCTCTCCTTGACAGATGACAGCACGACTGGTTCTACGGTCTGCCTTCCTTTAACAAGCACAACTCCTAAGTTTCAAACAAGGTCAAGTCTCGAAGTGAAAATATCGAAAATTCATATATCCAAAAATATTGGTAGTTATACTATGGACAGACCTGTATTTTTATGGTCATGATAGCTTTACAGGTATATATTTATTCTCACGGTTATTGGCTGGAACGCTTTTTGGCGGTCAATGACAGTATTTTAGCGGTACAATTTTTTTAAAGTGCCATCGATACTCATTTTTAGAAGTTGATAAAAATTTTAAATCTGTTTTATTAAAAAATGCAGCATTTCTTTTAACATGATTGCACGCCTTATAAATAAACTATGCTCACCCGTTAAAGTATATAACGTACAATTATATACACTATCCCGTTATTAAAATCAAACTTTGAAAAAAATATCTTGCAACTATATTCTGACCACTTATTTTTAAATGTTTCTTCAAATCTCCTTATACTGATAAACTGTAGGATAACAAAAAATTAATAAATAAATCAAATGTCTAGGATAGAGAATTTTTGTTGCTGAATGAAGAAATAATATAACTACTCCGCGAACTATATAATTTCTAAAATATATCCATCATAGTAATAAAAATATTAATTTTCTTTTCAGAAAAAAAATACTCATTTTGAAATAAATGATAAATATATATATATATATTTATTTTATTTTTTTAGTAACCAGCTGGTAAATTTCTCTCCGAAGTTTAGTACTAAAACCTTTTGATTACACCTCTGCCCTTTAAAGAAAATTACTCCTCTTGCTAAAATTACCAATTACTGAGGTCCTAACATTATCTTCAATCACTGACGTGGACAACCGAATGACACTCTTTCCAAATATATCAGAAAATAACTCGCGATTACATGGCAAGCTAATGTTCCATTTTTGGGAAAGTATCCTGCGAGTCGATATTTTTTTCCATTCTTTGAGATATTTTGTGAGCTGTTAAAAGACATAAACGGTATCATGAGATATTTTATAGGCTTAGTTATATTTTGTTGGTACTATTTTATTTTTATTCCATTTTCTCGTTTCTTTTTGCGTTATCCGGTAGCTAAAGTAAAAAGGATATTCTCCTTGATGTAATAAATTGCAATTTTTCTGAGATGTATTTAATCGTTCTACTTAAATGGTGTTTTGATTTTTAATTCATTTTGTTCATTTTGTAAATTACACATGATTAAATGTTAAGCTGATGTTTGATTTTTTGGGACAGAATCCCACAAATCGTTATTTTCTCACAGCATTAAAAATACGCTATTAAAAATATATACGGTATCATAAGATGGCTCGATTGGGGCTCGATTGGGATTATGGGCTCGATTGTAAATGATTCGCATTTTATTTTTATACTAACTCCCCATTTTTGTTATCTTTTTCTGGTAACCAAACTAAAAGGAATATTCTCTAGACAGTAATAAATTGCCATTTCTGTAAGATAAACAGTTCTAATTTTTATAGATTAAAAGATTTACTTAATATTTACAGAATGTACGAATGTTATATGTATATTCTTAAATGTATATAAATAATTTGTATGCGTATTCGAGGATGGATAAAATATAAACAAGGCTTTTTTAACAATTAAATATTATTAGATAAAATACAAAAGTGTTATTTTCTACATAATTTCCGTGACCTTCTACATACTTTTTACTACTTTTTGGAAGTTTTTTAACTCTGGTGGTACAGAAGGAAGTTGGCCGTGTAATAAACCAACTGCATTAAAAATCTTCTGCTTCTTCATTGGAGGAAAAAATCTCCCCCTCAAGGCATCTTCAAAGGGTCTAAACGAATGAGAGTCTGAAGGTGCCATGTCCGGACTATATGGAGGATGTTCAACAGTTTTCCAGTGTAATGCCTTTTTGATGCGTTGCTGCGGCCTTATAAGGTATCGCATTGTAAGAGTTGTAAGAGTACTGTCAGGATCAGCATATCGCGCCTCTTGGATCGATAGGCTGCTTTGACGCCCTCCGAAAAAAATAATAATAACGCATTAATAAATTGCATAATTTTTTCGTCGTTCACGAAGGAAATTAATCTACAAAACACCTCGTGAAACCTAAAAAACACTTTTGAATATTTTACCAAGAGGTAACCAAGTAGATTTTACTTTGAATGAAGCGGATTAATTTTTTCCTACACTAATATATACTGGAATGCATTGTTTAAGGGGCAAAGTGATGTGCCCAAGATTCATCACAAGTTTTCATACAGCATTTGCATACTTAAGCTCTTGACTGGGTATCACTGTCTAACTGTGCCAGTAATCTGCGCAAAATATCAATAGGTACGACATTTTTCCTCGTAAAAAAATTAATTATTCTGCATTGTGCAAATGCTTTAAGAAATTACTCTCACTCACGATTCAAGCTAATAAAAAAAGAATAAAAATTCTTTGCTGATATTATAAAGTCTCATTTATATAATTTATCCACCTACGTATATAGAGTTTGAATTTCGTTAAATAAAAAAACAAGATTAAACTTGATTAAAATGATTCCATTTATTTTTATACTGTATTTAAAATGTTTGCTAACAATGTGTGTAATAAACAAGAAATAAATAGCTTGTATTGAATATAAATGAGTTGATTATTTAAGTTCACAGTAGTGTATTATCATACTCTATTTTCTCTCCATCCTATTTCTTTTCACTTCACAGCATCAGTCGCAAACGGTAAAAAAATTTTAACAAATTCCAGATCAAATTTTGCGATAAAGTACCGGCACTCCCGATGTATCATTCGTAAAATCCATTTCACCATAAAATCTATTTTTCCGTAAAATACTATACGGTAATTTTTACAGTAATATTTAATTCGGGTGATTCAGTGATTTTGCGTTAGTTATTACTGTAGAAATTACGGCATAACAGGTCTATTATTCCCTAAAACTTTACTTGCGAAAATGGATTCCACGATAAAATACCGGCACCTTGAGAGCCGATGCTTCTTACAATAGTTCGATTCAGGCATTTTTACAGTGTGTTTGCATAAACAGCAAAACATGAATGGATGATCAGATTACTAAATGACCTATTTCACATTGTAAAAATGAAATAAAATTAAAAGAATTCTGCACTATAAGCATTCTGACATATATTTGTGTAACAGTATTGGTACTTCTAAATTTTACGAAATTGGCTATAGCTTGATATTTCAACTTATCTTATCTATCTATACATAATAATAAACGCGGCTGTGTGTGTGTGTGTCTGTAATCACAATATATCGCCCCAGAAGCCTCGCCCAGGCACGAAACTCGGCACATAATTGTGTTTTGACATAATGAAGAAGTATTTTTTTTCTTTTTCAAAAATTTGGATTAGTTTTTTAGTTATCAGTCATTTTGTAAGAAAATCTATGCTTTTTCGTCTTCAAAGAGCCATATTCAAAAAACTATTAAAAAATGCATATACTTTTCTCCACTCTTATAAATGTATGCTAATGCGAACCTTACAATTGAAATATTAATTTTCGACAACTTAAACCAATAATATACGAAGGAATTAATAATTTAATTGTAAGGTTCGCATTAGTTTACATTTATCAAAGTGGAGAAAAGTTTAACTTTTGTATTAAAAATGTGGCAACATATTCGATACGTAAATAGAACGCTTCGCTTTGATATATTTGTCGCTGTTCATAATTGTTATAATAAGTTTTTCTTCTTCTTTCCACGCTCTATTTTTTTTTTTTAAGCGAAGACGATAATTTTTATAGCGATATTGTAGTACTTTGTACAACTAAAAATTCTTTTCACAACACTTTAAAAATATTTACTTTATTTTCTTTATATATACAGAGAACAGTCGGCAAAGAATTCGATTAGGTTGAAAAACATTTCGCTAAAAAGGAACGAATTCCAAAAGAAAAAATAAACAACTTAAAGAATAAAAATGCTGATGCCAGCCAATTTTTTGAAAGTTAACTTAGAAATAACAAACCAAACGATGTTAAATAACAAACCAAACGATGTTAACAAAATGACGTAGAAAGCGCAACTAGATCAAAATTATACAAGCACAACTAGATCAAATTATAATACCTGAGTGCTTGACGTAACAGATATAGAAATAGAATTTGATACCATAAAAAATTATATAGAAATAGAAATTGATACCATAAAAAATTTATTCGTTTTCGTGTTCTTTTCATGTATTTAGCATTTTAGTTTTTTTTTTCTTAAGCGTTGTAGCTATATAATTTCAAACATCCTCAAGAGCTATAACACATCTGCAGCAGAACTGGATATGAAGACAAAATTGCAGGACAGAAACTCTTTAATTGTCCACTAATCTTCAGATTTCCTGCTATGTTTTAAAAAACTTTATTTGTGGAAACCTTTAGCGTGGCGGACAGCTGGCCGCCTTAGGCGGCTAGTTTTAAATAAATGCAAGGTTTGTCTTATAACTTAGCTTGTTTGATCTTAATGCTTCCCTATCACAAATTAAAAGAAAAGTAAAAGTGCCCCCCCTGAAAGGGACCAGATTATATATTATAATTGGAAGCAAAGTATCGAAGTTTAAAATAAGTGATTAAGGATGACTGCTTTAGTTAACTTTCTCTGTACTTTTATAAACTTCAACTCTACGGTTTATGCGGTCGGTACTACTTCAACTGTACGGAGTATTCAATTGCAGCATTTTTTTTTAAATTTGTGTTATTGATATTATATAATGTATTTATCAATTTGATCAACGTGAATGATGTGAAGCAGAATTCCTTGGTAGCGATTTAAGATTACGGCCACAAACTTCTATAGATTTAAAGTACAACTCTTTCTGATCATTGGTTCAATTTGAAAGTTTATTTTCTTCATCTTTGTATGTAAGGTAATTGCACTCTTTTGAACTACTACAATGTATCCAAAGTTTTTAATTGCGTTTCTATGGCCTTTATTGTTTGCTGAAATACCCGTTAATTTGGTATCGTGTATAAAAATCTGTTCATGGATAGGAAATAGACTAAAATCAATGAATTGCTCCTTGTAAAGAAAAACAGAGGCAGAAAACCACTTTTCATACCAAAATAATTTTAATTTTCAATCTCAACCCCCTATAATTTAGACTTTCTTTTAAAAAGTACGAAACCTACTTAGAAAATTGTTTTAAAACTTTTAAATTTTTAAAATATTCAAATCGGAATTCTTTATAAGTTGCCAAATACGGTTCTCTGCAAAATTAAAAAAGGAATTAAATTTTTCCCTCTCATGCGCAGTGTGAAAGAGCTACTTTAATTATTCTATTAATAATTATTCTATTATTAATTATTCTATTATTTAATTATTCATCTTGAGCTATTTTGAACAAATTTTAAAGCAATAATTTTGCAACTTGACTTTTTGAAATTGCTCTTAAAATTCTGTTTAATTTTATCGAAAATTTTAAAGTTAGAGCAAAAAAATTTCAGACCAAATATTTAGTTTCTTTTTTTTTTCTTTTTTCTTTTTTTTGTCTATATCTCTATTAATATTTAAGATAGGTATAATAAGGTATAGCAATTATTGCATCTAAAAACTAAAATAACTTATACAAGTTACAAATTTATTGCTACAATTTTTGGTATAGGTTTTCAAAAATACTATTTTCCATTTGTAATTTATTATCGGTTCCTGAAACCTCCAAAAGCTTTGAACTTCATTGAAACAAATTTTTTTTCAAATAAAATTGTAACAATTAGTAGTTTTAATTTCATAACGAAATTTATTTCTGACTCACCCGTATCATTTCTGCGATTAGCCGGATGATTAGAGGTGAGTATTTTTCCAATTTTGGTAATTTTAAAGCATAACTGTAACAGTTTATTTTTGAAAAGTTTCTCAGTGTGCGTCAAAATTCATATATCAATTTGAAAAAAGGAAATAAAAGTTTTATTTCATTCAGTAACAATTTTAATTATAATTTTTATGGTCATGTGCATGCATTTTCTTCGCCATAGAGGAAACTTATCACATAGAACAAAATCCTAACTTATGCGCTTACATAATAATCAGAACAAGCTTAACGTTAAGGCACGGTTAGAATGTTTGCAGCTGTTCCCTCAGGTGATGAAGCACGTTCCACGATATTTCGCAGTGTCTTTGTTCTCCATAACAATATAAATCGACTAAGCTTTGTTGCGGATAGATCGTGTAAATGGAAAAGAAAGAGGCTTTAGTGTCTGTTATTATATTTTTGCAAGAAGTAGAGGTCTATCGAGATCTTTACGAATCAGGTATAAATGTTCTCTTCAATTATAAGGATATGGTAAAATGAAGTACTCCCAAAGAAAAATAAATAGATATTTATTTTAGTTATTTATTACTTCAGAAAACCAATTGCAGAAGAGTCTTCAAATTAAAAGGTGAAAATATATCTTTTAATTTTCATAAATGCAAATTAATCCCTACCATGTTTTGTCTCTTAAAATTGAATTCAGTTAATGCATTGCATATGCATGTATAGTAACATAATCACAAACGTGGAATAGATAAATAGTAAACTGGTTATGGCAAGACCTTACTATTAATATTCTGTTGATTTTATATTTAATGATGAAATCTGCAACTTTTTGATTCAAACGACTTAGGCTCAATGCTGGATTTAGTTGGTTTCTTTGCAACTAATTAAGTATTTTATTAATTCTTTAGATTCTAATGTATTTTGTTCCGAAAAATGCTTACTCACTGGAAATTAAGCATCGTCAACACTAACTGAATATAGTAAGATTTACAGTGTTTCAGGCTTATTAAGAACGGCGAAAAGTGATGGCAATGCTTTGGGTAAAATTAATAATAAAATATGGTTTTGAAATATGTAATAAAATTTGGTAAATGTGATAAAATTTGTTAATTTCATCATAGCCTAGATGATGACTTAAAAACCATTTATTCGGTTAAATTTACTTTTAAATTTTGT